AGAGATTGAGAGTGATCAGAATGAGACTCATCATTCCCCTCACTTGCAGGAATCGGACTAGCAGTGATTGAGTCAGCTTGCACTTCTTCACTATCCGAAATCACAGAGACTGAGTTTTCTTCCAACACAGGAGGATTAAAGTTCTGAGGGAGTGGAAATAATTCAAACAATTCCTCCCCCTAACTTGTAGTAGTTCCTTTGGAAGCGAAATAAGAATAGTCTTCTTCAAACTTCACATCTCTTGATACAATGCACTTCTTAGTGATTGGATTAAAGCACTTATATCCCTTTTGGGTGGAAGAATAATCCATAAACACACACTTGGTAGCCCTGGCATCTAATTTGGCATGATTTAAGGCTTGAATGTGAATGAAGTAAACACATCCAAATACCTTGAGCTGTGTCAAATCAATTTTTTCTACCTTCGAGTACATCATAGGGAGATTTGAACTCTAGCACTCGACTTAGGAGTCGATTGATGAGATAAGTGGCAGTGAGGATTGCAAGTGACCATAATTTCTTTGGAACATGCATCTGAAGCATAAGGGAACGAGTTTTCTCCAAGAGATCCTTATTCTTTCTCTAGGCTACTCCATTTTGTTAGGGAGTTCCTACACAACTAGTTTGATGTATGATGCCCTGAGAATTTAAGTATTGAAGCATGTTGTTGGATAGAAATTCAGTGCCATTGTTTGATCTTAAAACTTTAATGTTTGATTGAAATTGAGTTTTAATATGCAGATGAAGGTCTTTGAAAATGTTTGGGACTTCACTCTTTGATTTCATAAGGTATAAAAAAACTCATTCGAGAGAAGTCATCAACAAATAGAACAAAATACTTAAAACCTTTCATTGATTCGGTTGTTGGTCCCCATACATCAGTGTGTACCATTTCAAAAGGTTTACTTGTCCTAGACATTGAATTACCAAAAGGTAGTCTAGTAAACTTAGAAAATTACCAAGTATCACACTTAAGATGAGATTTACAAAAATGTGGAAATATTTTAGACAAAACAACTTATGAGGGGTGAGCTAATCTCTTATGCCAAAGTTGGTTTTCATCTATGGACTTCGATTGAGCTTGAAGAGCCTGAGTAAAAAACAGGCATTCTTGCACAGGTAGTAAAGTCCATTTATGAAGACCCCTTCCCCAATCATCTTCATGGTGAGAACATCTTGAAGGAACACATTATCTGGTGAGAAAATAGCATGGCAATTTAGGGTGTTAGTGATTTTTCCAATTGACAGAAGTTGGAAGGGAAAGGTTGGTACATATAAGGTAGTGGAAGGTGTTTTGTGCGAGAATAAGTTTACTTCCCCTTTGACCAAAACTAAGACATTTTTTCCATTGCAACTAAAACATGTGAAGGACTCGAAATATGTTTAAAATGATGCAAGTTTGTGACTTTTTTTGTCATATGATTTGTAGTGCCTGAATATATTACCCAACAATCATTTTCAGTATTAGTCAATAAGGCAGTAGTGAAGGCTTTGAGTATACCTGGTGCTTCCTCCGATGGTACCTTCTCATTTCCAGCAAGAAAGCCGGCAAACTATCCCAACATAGCTGTATGACTGTCCTGATCCTTGCCTTAAGTTTGTGAACCTCCTCCATGTCCCTTACTTTGAAGATAGGTTGCAAATTCATTGATGAGTGACAATGGTTTGGTAGTGAACTCCATGGATCCTTGTGAGATAGTAGGAGAGTGAGCATTCACAAGTTGAGTCTTGGGTTGAGAATGAAATTGTTGTGAAGACCTTGGTATCATCTTCCCATCTTTGCTAAACTTAAGCTTGAGTTCAGGTTGAAGTTCCCAACACTTGTCTTCCACATGATCAACACCATTGCAATATTTGCATTTTAGGTGTGTATTTCTTCCTTTGTGCCCTTTTGCCTCTAAGCTCTTGTAGTTTGAGGCATATCCACGAGTCTCAGTCAATCTCAAACTATGCTCAGCATTCATCACTTTCTTCCTTGCTTCTTCTCATTGAATAGTTGCACAGACATTGTTGAAGGTGGGTAGTTCTTGACTCATCAATATGTGACTCCTTAGGTCCTCGTATTCAGAGTTCAAACTCCCTAATAGCTGATAGATTTTGTCTTTCTCAGCTCGTTTCAAAAGAGTGGAAGGGTTTGTGGTATGAGGGAGATATACATCCAACTCATTCCACATAGCCTTGAGGCTCCCAAGGTGTTGAACAAATGCCTTTCCTTCTTGTTGGGCACCAGCAATGTCCTTCTTAAGTTGAAAGACACGTGCATAATTGTTTTGATTTCCATACACATCCTGCAAGGCTTTCCAAAGATCAAGAGACGAGTTGTAATAGCTGAAAATCTCAGCAACATGTTTCTCCATGGTGTTGAGGAGTAAGGACATTACAAGTTAATCCTTGCAAAGCCATGCACTGTATGTTGAAGATGAGCTGTCTGTAGCCTCCATGCTTCCATTGACAAACCCTAATTTTCCTCTGCCTCCAAGAGCTAGTGAAACAGCTCGAGACCAAGGAAGATAATTGAACTCGTTCAAGAGAACTGAACACAGACGTTGATTGGTGTTAACCTTAATGTTTGAGAAATTTGGGGAGATGCTATGTCGAGTTTCTTCATCGCGGTTTACTGAACTTTCTTCAGCCATGGCTTAAAGATGAAAGAAATAATGCAGCAGTAAGAATGGCAGAGACAGGTTACGAAAGAACCTGCTCTGATACCATGTGGATTTTCTAGCTTTAAGTTTCAATGTATTTTACAGATATGTGTAATGTACAAGAGACAAGGTATATATGAGATAGGGAGGAAAGAAGAGGATCGGGAAGTTAGCTGCAACAAGCAGTTGACTAATAGGAAGAAAGAGAGCGATGTCTATCACAGCCAACTAGAGCTAACCTACTTCACCCAATCAGTCACCTTCCTTAGATTAAGGAAAGGCTTTATCTACTTTACACTAATCAGTCATTTTACTTAAATTAAGGAAAAACTGATTTACAACAAGTATGGGCTTAAGCTTACCCTAGAGATACACCCATAGTAGCTTACCCTAGAAGTTAACCCTAAACCCATCGGGACACACTTCATTCCTTCAACAAAACAGGAAGCGAAAATAAATAAGACCACAAAATCAATCAAAATTTCAAACACCGCATCCAAACGAAACCGGCCCTTTGCAATCATAGTTTCCTCTGTCTCACTAAACTCAGCTCAGTTAGTTCCAACTTTTCCCTGTATATACATACTACCATTCCCACACCAACGTAGACCACCTTTCGACTGCTGAAAATCATTGATAAAGACTTCCCAAATGGTAAAAGCAATATGGGACATGCATTAAACAACGATCGTGTGAGATTTCAAGTCAATCCTAATCCTCCACATTGTACTCCGTTTTTGTTTAGGCTTGCACATAATAATGTAGAAATTCTAGGATGGGCTTGGACCAACCCTGGCCTCAAGGTTCTAAAAAACGCTAGGCGCTAGTCGGGCGGCCCGCTGGCGCCTAGCGCCTAAGCGGCTAGGCGGGCACCTAGGCGGCCTAGGCGGATTTAGGTAAATTTCTTGTATATCTTGTAAATAAGTGCATATTAACACTTACAAAAAATTATTCTTGTATATCTTGGAATAAATATATTATATACCATATAAATTAGTTAAATTTATTTTATAGTAGATGATTAAATATTGAGGAAGACATTATTTAAAAAATATATACATATCTAACATAAGAGTATAATATAAGCTGATCTTATTTTGATCATAAAAAGAAAAATAATAAAATAATGTAATGCAAGAGTGTAATATAGACTTTAAAGAGATAAAGGTGTCAAATATGTGGGTGTAGAATGCAAAGTGGGACATCGAATGCATAGAGATGGGGAGCTACACCAATACTTAATAGCAAAAGTACACCTAGGGACTCACAGCCCATGTTTTTTTATGAGAACAATCAATAGCTAGGTACTGACAGCTCATTTTTTTCTTGAAAAATCATCTTGATGCTAGCTGTCCAAATGTGATTGGACAAAATTAAAAAATTAATTAAATAGAAAAGTTTGAGAGTGGTCACGTGAATGAAAGGAAGAGAGAAACTTAATTTCTCATTTTCTTCCTTGTTCGTCTTCGCAAGAACACAGAACCAGCAACCCAGAAAGTTTAGAACGCACTGCATTCATCCTTTCTCAAGCTCGAAAATAGAAAAAAATTGAGATTCCAAACCGCTTAGGCCAACCAATCAGCCGCCCAGGCCACCTTGACGCCCGCCTAATCCCTTTGCCGATTTTCCTTTCGATTAAGAGTTAATCTTGGCGGCTACATGTGGTTCCACCACTAATGAGGACTTAAATAGGAGGAAAGGACGGGAGAAACAAACTTCGACTCATTTCGATAATCACTCCTGATCCTTTTTTTTTTAACAAATGATATTATCTATACTAAATAAATGATATTATCTATACTAGAGGGGTGGGAGAGTGGGCAAAGCCTCAGAATGGACGAGCAATAATAATTTGGTTCAAATTTGCCTATGGCAAGAATCAAACCTATGACCTCTCTCACTTACAAGTGAAGATATTATCTATACTAGAGGGGTGGGAGAGTGGGCAAAGCCTCAGAATGGGCGAGCAATAATAATTTGGTTCAAATTCGCCTATGGCGAGAATCAAACCTAGAACCTCTCATTTACAAGTGAAGATGAATACCACTAGACCGTAATACTAAACGACAACTCTTAATATATTTACAATAATAAGAAGAACATGATTTCTTAATTGTAGGCTAAACACAACATATGAAGGTATGTTGGATAAAGCATTAAACCCTAGCTTTGCATCGTATCCTGGGTAAACAACTAAACCCTAGATGACTACGACTAATGAGTGATTTGTATCAATGAGACTCCCAATAGCCTCCAACTTCCAATAGTGTGTGTATCAAACCAATTATTTTCATCAGCATTCTAAAGGGCAGCATATCACTCTTGTTTACTCGACATTTCGCTTCTAATTTCCAAATGACGAAACGAAAGCGTGGGGTGGTGATGGCAGACCGAATCAGCGAGTTGCCAGATGAAGTTCTTGTTAGCATAGTGTCTCTCTTGTCGCTAAGGGAAGCAGCAGCTATGCGTATCCTTTCTACGCGATGGAGGAATGTATGGAAATCAACTTGGACCCTCAATTTCGATGCGGATCCTAAAGCTTTGGAAAGGGAAAGGTACGTCACTGACGCTGAAACCTTAAAAGAAAGGTACGTCAAGTGGGTGGATAGTACTTTGGAACAGCACCAAGGAATGAGTATCGAACAATTTAGGATTTGTTTTAACCTCAACGAGAGATTTTCAAGTTCCGTTGATAAATGGGTTCGATTTGCAATGAAAAAAAGAGTTCAAATTCTTGAGTTGAACTTCTTAGAAGAATTTCCTCCGACATATGAGGGTGCTCTGCTCCACGTACCATGCTATACTTTTTCTCCCCGCCAACTTTTAGGTGGTGTTCCTAGTCTACAACCTTGTTCCGACGTTGGCTTCAACTTCCTCAGAGTTGTAAAGTTCAAAAACGTTTGTCTTGCTGGAGGTCTCGAGTACTTTTTGTCTAACTGTCCAGCTCTCGAACGATTAACAATATATCGTGTTCTAGATTTGCATAAGCTGAGAGTTGTCGGTCTGTCAATTCCGTTGAAGTACTTGGTCATAAGAGGTTGTGACAATATCGAAAGCATTCTGATACGTGATGCAAATCTTGTTTCATTCACTTATCATGGACTTAAGATGAACTTGATTACTAGGAATGTACCGCTGCTCACTGAAGTATCCATCGGTGGGTACCCAAAAGTTGATTTTCTCAAAGTTGCCTTCACCCAACTTGAATCTTGTCGTTCTCAGCTACAGATTCTCAAACTGCTCCAGTATAAAATCCCCTACGACGAGGATCGTGTTTTTCCTATCTTCTCAAGTCTCAAGCAACTGGAAATTGCCGTCACAGATCAAGATTATTGGCGTCTTCATCTATTAACATCCTTCATTGAGGCATCTCCTTGCTTGCACAAACTGGTGTTGCACTTGCATCACTCATCTTTTACTGGTCAAAGAAAAATATTCAAGAGAGCCGAATGCTCCCATCGTTACCTCAAGGTTGTGGAGATGGTAGGGTACGATGGTAGCACAGGTGATTTTGGACTTGTCAAGTACTTGACAAAAACTGCTGTCAACCTGGAGGAAATCGGTGTTAGTCATTTCAAGAGTTGGTTTTACCATTACACAGACGAGAAACCGGAAGAATCAGAAAGGAATCGTGCTATGAAGGATCGTGCTATGAAAGAGCTGAAACAAATAGTGCCATCAACTGTAAAACTAGTATGCTTGTAGGAAGTAAAAATTGCAGTGCTCATAAGAATTTGTTTTGGTATTTCAATATTAAGGTTTTCTGGCCGTGGATGAGGGCACAAGACACAGGGTTTTGTGGCCGGAACACTGATGCTACTGAACAATTGAGGTTTTTGGTACTTTTAAGTTAAGTTTGAACTATGCTCCTAGTTTGTGCTTTTGGTTTGGTAAAACTTTAAAGACTGATTTTGCATAACAGTTGAGGTTTCTGGTGTTTATTATTGCTTCTTTGCCTCTCTTTTCTTTCTCAATCGAATTTAAATTACGAGCAATTAACTAGTTCGAATGTAACTCAAAATGGTTAAGATCGTTTACTCTTATAACGTCTTGAATAGCCAGTTTAGGAGCAATTAATTAGAGCGAGGAATAGCCGTTTCTCATATAACGCCCTGAATGTCATACACCTGCAATTTGAATAGAAACACTCAGAATTCTCCCTTTTTTGGTACAAATATTTAACCTCTGGACGCAAATTGTTTCTGAGGAAGAGGAAGGGCTCTCCAGCCAATATCACAGCGGTAGAACCCTCCCGGCCAATTAATTTCTTCAACCCCTTGATATGCCCGATCGCGTGCCTCTTTGAGATCTATTCCCTTGGCGGTCACCCCAAGAACACGTCCCCCAGCAGCAATGAAATTGCCATCTAAATCCAGTGCAGTTCCAGCATGAAATACCTTAACAGATGGAGTAACAGCTTCTGCTTCATCAAGGTTCCGGATCACACTTCCCTTCTCATATGAACCCGGGTACCCCTTACTTGCCATTACCACCACCATGGCTGACCCAGCCGACCAGTTCAATGACACCTCGCTTAACTGTCCTCTACAAGCTGCAAGTAGAACTTGTGCCAGATCAGACTCCAAGCGAACCATTAAAACCTGTTGATCATTAAGCCAAACAGGCACCGAAAGTTGTTGTTAACATGTTATTCAACAGCAACACGATCTGAATAGGACGGAAAATAAAATACCTAATTTCCATGCCTAAGTTCCAAACTTCCATACAAGAGGCTGATCTACCATTAAGCCTAATATTTTGATATGACACAGAACCACCAGTCAAACAACCTATCAAAGTAACGGCCAAACTAGCAACCAGAACATTAAACTATAAACACTTACAGATTTATGCTACGTAATGAGCAGAGTGCAAAGATATGCTTGAAACCATATGGTGTTCATAACCCACATAACTCGTGCAAGTAGACAAGAAAAAGAATAGTGGCCGGACAAGCAATGGAGGTACACAATCCAAACCAGTACATTGAAACTGGAGATAAACAGGAAGAGAAAATAAATAAGACCACAGTCCATCAAAATTGCAAACACCGCATCCGAATAAAATTGGCTTTTGCATCATAGTTTCCTCTATCTCACTAAACTCAGTTCAGTTCAGTTCCAACTTTTTCCCTGTACATGAATAATACATACTACCATTCCCACACCAACCTAATAGGTAGACTAAGATAAATTCAAATTTTCATCAAATCATTCCGCAACCCATTCCTTCGATTAAAAGAAAAGGATTTGGAAAGAACGAGAGACAGACATAAACCACCTTTCAACTACAGAACCTAAATTGTTGGCTGTAAAATTAGCAAAAATTTTTTGATAAAGACTTCCCAAATTGTAAAAGCAACATGAGATGCATTAAACAACGATTGTGTGAGATTTCAAGTAAATCCTAATCCTCCGCATTTAAAATGAACAAATGAATCATTTAAATAGGTATCTACTAGTGATCTGTTTACTGACCTGACACTCTGGATCACCAAAACGTACATTGTACTCTATCAGTTTAGGTAAGCCAGACTTTTTTTCTATCATGAGTCCAGCATATAAAACCCCAACAAACTTGCGGCCCTCGGCTGACATGCCTTTCACTGTGGGGTAAATGATGGATTTCATGACTAAATCTTCAAGTTCTTTAGTTAGGATGGGGGCTGGTGAGTATGCACCCATTCCACCAGTATTAGGCCCCATATCACCATCCCCAACGCGTTTATGGTCCTGAGCAGATTCCAGAGGAATAGCATTCTCTCCATCCACCATTGCAAAGAAAGACGCTTCTTCTCCTTCCAGATATTCCTCAACAATGACACGACAACCTGCAGACCCAAAAGAACCTTTTACTAGCATTGAGTCAACAGCATCAAAAGCCTCATTCAAAGTCATAGCAACAATAACTCCTTTCCCAGCAGCCAATCCATCAGCTTTAACGACAACAGGCACCCCTTGCTCTTGTATATATTGTTTTGCAGCAGATGGGTCTGTAAAGGTTTGATACTGCATCAATTAATCAATTCATTAGTTAACTCTTGTTTTTATGAAAATATCGACACAAGAACTGAAAAGGCAATGCCAATCGTTTTTCATTATCATTTTCGAGTTCTAATGATCATAAGCAAGCAATATTTGAAGTTAACAACACCCTTTTATAACATAATATCAAACGTAATACAAACCTTAGCAGTAGGTATTCCATACTTGTCGCACAAACTTTTCATAAAGTTCTTGGACCCTTCCAAAGCAGCAGCCTCAGATGAAGGGCCGAAGGCATGGATTCCAACCTTAAGCAGATCATTTACGAGACCAGCAACAAGAGGGGCCTCTGGTCCAACAACGACAAGCCCCACACCCCATTTGCGGCAGAATGAAATGACAGCTGAGCTATCAGAGATGTCAAGGTCTGAAATACAAGTGGCATCCCCAGAGGTGGAAATTCCGGGGTTGCCAGGGGCACAAAAGACAGTATCACAAGAAGGGGATCGCTTCAATGCGTAGCAAAGAGCGTGTTCCCTTCCACCTCCCCCAATCACCAAAACCACCACCCGCTCTACTGTAGCATCAACAAGTAAAACTAAATCATTATACACATACATTCCTACCTACATAGTTATCTACACCAAATATACATACACAAACATAATTAAACTTTCATGCATTGCATAAACATATATACATGGCGCGGGTCCGTGGCACCACTCTTTTACACAAACTTTTGACGCAAGTTTTTTTCTTGCCACTGTAATATATTTCAACGATTCAAACCATCAATCATTTAGAACAAGATTCATCGATCATGAATACCACTGTAATATATTTCAACGATTCAAACCATCAATCATTTAGAACAAGATTCATCGATCATGATCGATCATTCATTCCGTCCCCTATATAGGTATTGCCATATTCCACTAAAGTGATGATGGTTGCAATTTTTTTTTCAATAAAAAATAAAACTCAGAAATACATACGAATTAATTTCTAAAAAAATAATAATAAAAAAACACCAAAAATCAGATATGATTAACCAGAAAGCATGAAAATTTGAAAGAAAATAAAAATCAAACGAAGTAAAATATGAGAGGGGTGTTTTTAATTTTTGCCGAAGTACCAGGAGCAACAGTGGCAGATTGGGCGCGAAGGGAAAAGGACGGCGGTGATTTGTGAGGACGAAAAGTGAGAAGGGTGGATGGGGAGCCGTTGGGATGGCGGCGAGAGCGGATGGACCCCACAAAGGCGAGGAAGGGCTTCGGAGAGCAGCGGAGGAAGTGGGTGTTGTTGTTGAGTTTGAGAGAAATAGCTCCGGCGAGGTCCAACGTCTTACAACCCATTATTTCCTACGAATCAGAGAATCTATGTGTCCTGTCTGTTTTCTCCCCTTTTGTGTTCCGCAAATCAGAGAATCTATCCTGCGCGCGAATTTAAATTGGAAGGAAGAATAAAGATGACGATGGGTTTGGGGGGTTTTGGGTGTTCGTGTCATTTTCCAAAGAACTGAGGGTTTATGGCGCTCAAACTAATTAAAGAACCAAGAAATTTAAAAAGTAAAGTAAATTAAATGAGATTTTTTTTTAGTACATCAACATTTTTACACTAAAGAGAGGAAAAGTTCGGTAAAACCACATAATAAGCAGCCTGATTTGGTATCGAATTTGTAATCCACAATATTCTAATCTAAGACCTCACTTTCAAGTGGAGAGAAATACCAAAAGACCGCAGTACTAAATGATTCGTTAATTTGTTGACTACGGCCGAAAAAATTAAAATAATTGATTTGGATCGCAAAGGATTGAGAATAGTGTTAAAATTTGCTACCCAAACTTAATAAGTTCAGCCCTAAATATATAGGATTGTCTCTAACGCACCAAAAATATAATCAAGGCGATTTCCTCCTTTCTTTCGCCCGGTTCATATACACGTAGCTTTCATCTGTAACCTAGGGGCTCCAGTCCTTTGTGTGATCTTTTTGGTGTTTTGTATAAAGACGTTGTATATGCGTGTATCTCTCTCATCGCTTTACAAGTAATAAGAGAAATATACACATACATAATTTGTACAAGTACAGAAAATCATCGCGTTCCCTTGCAATTGCCATGTTCCCTTCCCCCATTACTAACTCTCCTAAATGCTTCTCAAAATCCAAACAGCCTTCTCCCTCGAACTGCTTTTAGCACTTTAAAAAAGTATCGTGCGCTCTTCTCCAGACGAGAGGAGGGCGCAATGTTGTGTAGCTAGCTGAGTTTACGGTATCAAAGCTCACTGTGAAGAGTACAGGATCAAATTCGAACAGTCCGAGACTGTTTTCAATTTTGCATTCTTTTTCTTGGTTCAATCAAAGCAAAGCCAATCCAAGTACATGCTCCGTTCTGTCCATCTCGTAAGCACTTCATTCGTATTAAAAATCAAGAACGAAGAGGAAGCACAGCATCAACGTAACTCAGGATACGCGAGATTCACATTGTTCAAATTGAAAGCACAAAGACTGAGTCAAAAAATTAAACAAATTATAGTAGACAAAAGGGCCGTTCAACCATACAGCAAGGGAAGGAAGAAAGAAAAAAGAAACTCTTGGCGTATACATATTACCTGTCTTTATATCTCATGTTCCTCGCGGTGGGAGTCACAATAACATACATATTATCTATATTTGGTCTTCAAATAAGCATACAAAACTACCTCTATCCGCATGCAAACTTA